GACAAAGAAAACATTCATTTGGAGCACATTAAATGTTGCTAGGAGATACCAAGACGTAACATACCAAAGTAGGAAGCGTTTCCTGGTCAGCTGATGAGTTGTCTGTTGGGCAGTTACTGTTTCAGGGTCCTGGATGAGGCTCCATGGGACCACAGAAACCCCCAAGACTGACCCCTGCCCACCCAGAGCCTACAGGCTTGGTCCACCCTAGTCCCCTGTGCACTCACTGTGAGCTTTGGCTGAGCCTGTACATAGCTGCAGAGGCCCTGGAAGAAACAGAGTGAAACTTGGGCTCTCTGGGGTCTCTGGGAGATTCGCCACTCTGGTTAAGTGAGTCTGCCTGGTAACTGCACGTTCTTGCCTTTGAGGACCGTCCTTGACAGGAGCCACTCCCAGATGCCTTGCATCACGGCTTGATCAGTGTTCACCTTTGTAAACAGTGCAGGGCCATTCTTAGGAGTGGTGATTTTTAGACTGGACTAATACAGGGTTGCCTTTGGCTCCGTTTAGAACTTTCTGGTCTCGTGAAACTGTCTTCAGCTGCTCTGCTTTTGGAATTCTTAAGGTTGCTTTTTATAGCTTTTCTGTCTCTTTGCGTAGTTGTCAGCTTTTATTTCTTGCTGGCACTTTTTCTGCAGAGTGGCAACAGCATCCCCTCTCCCTTCTAATTTGCTGTGTCCTTGGGAACCGGGACACAAACTTCGTTGGAATTTACCTAACGGAGAATCAGTAGACCCTGAGCGAGACGAAGGCAGGCAGCTTCTGGCCCTTGAAGAGCGTGAATGTTGCAGTGTGTGTTTTGATGGTTCCGAGGCTGCTTTTTCTGGCTTGCTGCTGGTTTGGGAGTGTTCCTCCAGCGTCCTCTCTGTTTCTCTGCCCTGCACTGGGTCGTGGTGGGGAACACAGTGTTTTATATGGAACCGTTGACGAAGAGGAATCCCAGTGTGGTTGTTCACCAGCGTGTACCTGAGTCCTCTGAGCAACCGGGCTCCTGAGTGTGGAAGATGACGCTAAAAACGGATGTTCGTGGGTCAGAGGGACTTGGTGGGGGGAAGAGTAGAGGACAGGAAAGTGAGTGATCACGGGAACGTTTCTGCCAGACTAGGCTCTTAAAAATGTTTAGTGAAGTCTTTCAAACATACTGAAAAGGAAAAGTAAAATCCAATGAACACCTGCCTTCCCAGCACCCTGTTTTAAAAATTGTATTACCTACAGTTATTATTATATTATCTTACTATATTAACTATAGTTAATAATGTAATGTTATGTTATTAATAATACATTATGTTATGATACAACTATATTAACTATAGGTAATAATACCATATTATATTATTAATAATACATATTATAATAATATAACTATATTAACTATAGTTAATAATTCTGTATTGTATATTTGAAAGTTGCTGAGAGAGTAGATCTTAAAAGTTCCCATCACACAAAAAAATTTTGCAACGGCGTGTGGTGCCGGATGTTAACTAGACTTACTGTGGTGATCATTTTGCAATATATACATACATCAAATCATTATGTTGTACACCTGAAACCAATATAATGTTATATTTCAATCGTATCTCAATTTAAAAAATCCTATTACCATGTTGCCTTATTTGCTTCAGATTTTTAAAATAATAAAATGTTACCAAATATCATTAGAAGTCTGCAGTATACCCCTCTCAGATCTTATCTTTCTCCCTTCTCTCCAGAGGCATCTGCTGTCTTGAACTTAGGGTTGTTTCTTCCAATGCAAGTTTTAATTCTTTCCGTGTATATTTTTGTATCCCTCAATAATAAGTAGCATTCTTTTACATGCGTAACTTCATATAGGTGGTACAACACTATACATATTCTTCTATAACTTGCTTTCCTCCCTCACTTTTATATTTGTGAGATTTATCCATCTTGACTCGGAGCTCATTCATTTTTCACTGTGCGTTCAGCACAGGTTGGCAAACTATGGCCTGTGGGCCAGGTTTGGCCAGAGTTTTGTAAATAAAGTTTTATTGGAACATAGCCGTGCCCTTCCTTTAGGAATTTTCTGTGGCTGCTTTGCACTACAATGGCAAAGTTGAGTGGTTAAGACAGAGACAGAGACCGAAGGGTTAGCAAAGCCTGAAATATTTACTATCTGGCCCTTTCCAGAAAAAGTTAGCCAAGCCCTGCTGTAGAATTCTGTTGTAACAATGGAGCACGTTGTATCTGTTCTCCTGTGGGTGAACATTTGGGTCATTTTCAATTTTCTTATTTTACAAACAGTGCTTCAGTAAACGTTCTTGTTTGGTCAGTACTGTCCCTGGAGCAGACAGCTGGAAGTGTAATTACTGGGCCAAAGGGCATGTGCACCTTAAACTTGACCAGATGTTACCAAATTGGTCTCCAGGTGGGTCTACCAGTTTGCCCTCTCACTGGGAGTCTGTGAGACTTCCTCTCATTCCACGTCCTTGCCAACAACTTGGTATTTAGAGCTTAAGTTTGGCGAGTCTGATGTGGTTAAAGTGTCGCTTCATTCCTGGTGAAGACAGTCAGCGTTTTTTCACGTTGTCATTGCCATTTTTCTTTCCTCTTATGGGAATTGCCTGATCATATTCTTTGCCCATTTTCCTATTGAGTTGTTCATCTTTTTCCTTCTGAGTTGTGAGAATTCTTTATATATTCTGGCTACTAGTCCTTTTGGTTATATGCATTAGAACCAGCCTGTGACTTTGTTTTCTATCAGTCTGGATTCTTTATCAGAGCTGTGTCTTAAGGTATGGTCAGTCTTAGTTCATCCTGAAGATATGTGTGATCTGTATATGCACATACATACGTAGATACTCACGTATGTATGTAGTATGTACATCTACACACACATATATGACTTCTTTTCCGTGGGTAAGTTTGTGAGGTTGAAAGGGTCTCAGGCTGAAGCGCAGTGAGTAGAGGCGAGCAGGGTCAGCAAGGGTGATTCAGCGCAGCCCTCCGCCCTGGGGCGTTCACAGGAGCAGTAACCGCCTGGCCTGGAGCAATTAGTGTGCCTTTCCGAGACTGTCCTTGGAGTGAGCTGACTGTCGCTGACGCTGGGCTGCGTAGACAGGCCCGCCAGGGCCCAGGGAAGCTGAAGGCCCCCGTTGTGGGGTGCTGAGGGCTTTGGAGGGCTGCCATGGCAGAAACCGAATGTGATATGTGGTTTGGGGTTTCCCTGTTTTGGTTTTGGCTGGAGTCAGCCCTTGGTCTCGGCTTGATCAGGTTGCACCATGCTCTGGCCCACAGTGGTTTCAATAATGAAACTGCCATTTTCAGGCCAGGCTGCTTTTGCTCGGCTTCACACGGGTCTGTCGTCTTCACAACCGAGAGCCCTGGCTTCCCCCATCCCTCTACCTCCTCTCACCTTTCAAATCAGACTTTCTGAGTTGAGTAGTTAAAACGTAAAAACCTCTGCAGTCCTTCTGGTTTACGGAGCCTGTGAAGTTGACAGTCCTGCGGCCACAGTCTCCGTGTATCTGAACAATGGCTCAGTGAGGCTTCGGGGAAGATGTATCATAGCTGCCGTCTTGAGTTGAGGACCGCCGAGAGACAGTGCGCTGACGTGCTCTGGATCCCGTGGCAGTCTTCAGTGCTGGGCTGGCGTCCCCTCTGTGGTGGGGCTCTCCCACCACGTGTAGTGCAGGTGCAGGCTCAGTTCCTTACCCCAGATCCAGGACGACCCCTCTGCCTCGTCACCAATATCACTCCTCCAGGGAGGGCCACACTCTGGGGGACCGAGGCAGACGTAACTAGGGGAGCACGTCTCGCATTCCCTGAGCCTGTGCATGTGTCAGACTTCGCACTGTGCGTTTTCCCACGTCATCTCATTTGGTGCTCAAATGAATGCTGTAAGTAGCAGGGCCAGCTTCCTGGGCCTGTGGCCGGCACAGTCAGGCAGAGCCCTGCTTAGCTTAGCAGGGCACCACGCTTGGTTTTATGCCCTGCATTTGCCTCTTTGAATTTTTAAGTAATTCTTGAACAGTTGACCCCACATTTTTCAGTTTGCACTGGGCCCCACAAATGACGTAGCCAATACTGTCCACAGATAAAGAAACCGAGGCTCAGAGAGGTGAGGTAATTTGCCCAGGATTACGCAGCTAATAACTGGCGGAGCTGGGACTGGAGTAATTTCTACTTTGCTGCTTCATTTATTGAAAATAGAGCCCTGGAATGAGCCTCGTTTGAATTGCACTTCAGGGATCGGGGAAGCAAGATAAATTGTGCTGTAGAAATACTGGTTTTCTGTGGAGATTTGCCTACATGTTGTTAAGTAGTTTTGTGTTGACCTCACCCTGGCCACTTGCCACCCTTTTCCTGAAGATGAGGGACGATATGTCATTTCTTTTGAGGTTCTTGAAAGTGCCTAGAACAGGGAGCTTCACGGGGGAGCCATTCAGGCTGACTAGGTGGGTTAATGGGCTTCTTTGGTTCGAAAGAAGAGATTGAGACCACTGGGTTTACCTTGCGGAGCTGTAAAGATGCATGTGACTGGTCCATGGTTAGGGAACGGAAGGATCGACACAGCTCCGGGAGCAGAGCCTACCGTCACTCCCTCGGTGGCAGAGGTTCATGGATCCCCGACTTGGCGACTCCTCTGGCTTTGCTTTTCTCTGTGTGTCTCTTATGCTGCCAGCCATTCCACTCCTGCCTCTCCCAGGAGGTTCAGGTTTTGCCCCAGGCCCCTCAGAGGCTGCTGGCCCTCCTGGAGGTTACCACTTGGGGTGAATGAAGCATTGCCCTCTGGCCATGTTGGTTTGGTTACAGGGCTCCAGCATGGTGACTTAGGAGAAGGAGCATTTAGAATGGGGCGGAGTAAGTCTTGTCCTGTCCAGGGCATTGGGTGGCCAGTCTCCCAGGACAGGCTTTGAGTCAGACCTCTTAGGAGATGAGCTCCCTGCTTCCTGAGCAGGACGTAGTCCTGGCTGGAGAAGGTTCCGGGGATTCCCAGGGGACTCGCTGGCCTCCCTGGTGATCTGCTCTGTTTCCCTTCACAGCAGCAAACCCTCTGCTTTGCTCCACCGCCCGCTACCACTGCAAGAACGGCCTCTGCATTGACAAGAGCTTCATCTGCGACGGGCAGAACAACTGTCAGGACAACAGCGACGAGGAAAGCTGTGAAAGTTCTCAAGGTAGGAGCCCCCCAAGCTCTAAAAAGTAATTGCCACACCACAGTAACACCGAAAGGAAGAAAGCCACCCCCAGACCACCTGCAAATACAACGGCTCTGTTAACTTTTGCCCTTTACCTCGCAGTCCTCGTACGCCTGGTTTTAGCTATAATGCACCCGCCATTTTGTATTTCCCACGTATTAAATATCATATATACGTTTTTCTCTCCACAGTTGTACTCTGCCCCACCTGTGTTACATACAGTCCTGGTGCTCTATTGTGGTTTTCTGAGTCGTTACATTGTTGGGGGCACTGCGGTTGTTTCTTTCCATTCAGTTACTTCTCCAGGATAAATTCTGCAGAGCAGGGCATCTGCATGGTTTGTGGCTACACCCTCAATACAGCTGTTTGAAATCTTTTTTTTCTTTCTTTACACTGTTGCTAGCATTGTCTGTGCATGTCAGTTTTATGGTAATATCTCAGGCATTCGCTGCTGTTTTGTTTTTTCCATTTTTGTGAATTTAGTAGTCATGGGAAGATAGCTCCCCAATGTCTTAATTTGTATTTCTCTGATTATGAGCAGAGTTAACATTTTCCCCCTTGTGTTTGTTTACTACTTGCCTTCTCTTGTGTGAATTGCCTGCTCGTATCAGAGCTCTCGATCTTAGAGCTGTTTTGTGGGAGCTGAAGGATGCAGTTGGCGGATGGAGGGATGAGCTTTTTGAGGGTCGCAGAAGGACACAGTGGGGTCATATCCTCCCCTGTTAAAACTGACCGGGTACATTTCTTTACTCATTGACTCTTTTCCAGGAAGCATGTATTTCTTCAGGGATTAGAAAAAAATACAAAGATTAAAAATGTATGTTCATTTTAAAGGCATCCTAAAAAGTATATATTTCTGATGTTATCAACTGGTATCATCTGTATGCAATCTCTACTTGTTTCGTTAACATTATATTGCGGTGATTCACTCCTGTTATTGTTCGTTGGTAGAATTCATTTGTTTCAACTGTTGTTCAATATTCCGCTGTATGACTGTTCCACAGTTTATAGATTTAATAAAACTGTGAAAAAGAAAAGTGAGGGAATGATGGTTAACTGGTTGACTCATGTGTTGGGAGATAGGATGGACAGGATAAGCTCTGTGAAGTTAGGTGCAGGTTATTTTCGAGGTCGTAGCTTTTATTTTGTTTGGTGTTTATCATGTTATTAAAAACATGAAGAAACATAAAAATGAAGAAATGAAGAGAGGGGTCATGTATGGACCACTGGTAGAAGTGGGTCACACACCAAGGGTTACGGTCAATCTAGACCTGGATGCCTGAGGTCCATAGGAGAGGAAGGATAAAATGTGTATCAGCATAGACTTCACCAAAATCTGTGTGGAGAAGAGCTCTGGGAGGCGAGTCTTGGGTACAACTAGCGTCTGATTGTCCTTGCCTGGAAAACCCCTCCTTGGTCTTCTCTTCACTGCGGGTTCTCAAAGTGTGATCTGCAGATCAGCAGCATCAGCATCTCGTGGGAACTCTTTGGAAATGCGGAGCTCAGGCTACACCCAAGAGCAACTAAATCAGCCCGGGAGGTGGTATAATCTGTGTGTTAACAAGCCCTCCAGGTGACTCGAATGCACATTCAAGTCTGAGCACCGCCGTTCTATAGTCTCTTTAGAGAGGTGTCTAATCTCGCCATTTGCCTGGGAATTTCTAAACTTCTGAGGCAAGGTGTTTCTAGCCTTTACACAAAGTCAAATTTTTATAAACCAAAACATGTGCCAATATACCTCCTGTGGCATATGCCATTGACAGTGACAGACACCAAATAGGGGAGCAACAGCCACAAAGTCAAGTACATATTAGGATAGATGGGAGGGCTTGAGGAATTGTAAATATTGTTTCTTATATAATTTCTTACGTGACTAGGTATCCTAGACTCACTACTGGTGCCCTGAGATGTTCAGCAAAAGGACTTCCAAGTGTAAAACTTGGCAGTTAGGGACTGCGTCCTGATGCCCCCCCCC